GAAGCGTGGCGGATCGCCTGAGCAAGTTGGAATCATAATTGTGTTCCCTCACTTCCGACCGCGGCCCCTCGACCCAGCATACGGCCATCTTCGGAATCTTGAGCTCGCTGGGAAATAAAGCAGAGGCAGATAACTGGCTCTGGGCCCAGCTGTGGTACGCGGGAGCCCCCAGCCCGCTCGAATTCTAATCAAAGGGGGAATTTGTCAACTTAATGGTTGCCAAATTTCTCTCGGCGGCGGACCGAGACACAGCGTTGTCGAAGTGCGGTGCTGCCAAGCTGGTGTTGGACAGGCCAGCGTGGGCAGCACAAGATCTACCTGTTGAAGCACGCGTCGCTCGATCGATGGTGTTGGAAGCAAAGTCCCTGTTCCTGAACTGGGGGTTCGCGAAGAGCGTGCTCTGGGCAGACCCCGACAACAAATCACTCCATCTCGGCGAGGGCCAGGTGTTCCATGTCAACGTGGACGGTGGAGCGCTCAAGGTCGAATACGGGCTGGAGTGGGAGCAGTGATTGGGAGACGATACGGAATGGAAAGAAGTGCTTGGCACCCAGACCGCCAGGCTCCAGCGTGGGGCAAAAGGCGGGTCAAACAAGGACAACTTCGCGGCTCATCGCGAATAGGGGTTACGGCACATCGGCATATTGAGTACTGGCCCCGCTTATGGCCGTGAGAGCTGGAGAGAAAAAAAAAATCACGCTTGCGCGGGCCAGGCGTTTCACCATCAGCTTCACCTCATACTTACCTTTGGCACGCACAGCATTTACCACCAATTCCCGATGATCCAGCGGGACGCGGCCTGACCGGCCTGCCTTTACCCCTTCCTCCGCATCATCTTCCCCATGATCCTCAACGTGACCCGCTACTGTTTCATAGACCGCCTGACTTTGTGATGCAAAGCGGGAGGCCAGGACACATCAGAGACCGAAGGGACCGACGCCCAGTGAACATCACTAAAGTAGCTACGTGGAATGTGGAAGGGATCCGGTTGGACTCTGACTGCACGAAACTCCACCAGATCACGGCCATCATGCAGGAACGGGAGATCGCGATAGTTGCATTGCAAGAGACACACATCAGTGCAGCACCAATTTTCATGTGCGAGGGTTGCCTGGTGATGCTGTCAGGCGGCCCCGAAGATGCACGGGAGTATGCTAGAGTGGGCTTCGTTGTGGCGCCGTGGGCGCGGCACGCAGTGATGAGCTTCATACAATGCAGCAATCGATTGGCCAACTTACGAATCAGAACTCCCGGAGGGTCGGTGTTGTTCATTTGCGCGTATGCTCCGCAGTCGGGCCTCGATTTCGAAGTCCGTCACACATTTTGTGGTAATTGGTCTTTGTTGACAGAATAATCGAAGGCGCATGGGCCAGTCTTCACGATGGGGGATTTCAACGCGCGGGGTTGCAATCCATATTTCTGCGACTCGGAGGTCGTAGGGCCGTTCGCCTGGGGCGACGGCGGCGCCTACCCAGGGCCGCTCAGCAACCAGCTTATGCTGATAGAGCACTGCACTTCACGGGGCCTCACGATTGCAAACACTTTCTTTGACACACCTGTAGAGCAACGGGTGGCAGTGTTTGATATTGGTGCATCTGCCATCTCAAAGCTTACGCCGCGCAATCTCGCTGAAATCGACCACGTACTAGTCCGCCAGGATTGGCAAGAGGCAGTGCGGTCAATTACTTCAGACAGGAGCATCGGATTCGCTTCACACCACTTCATGGATATAGTTGTGCTGGATATTCATATACCCAAGACGCCACCGACAACGAACAGGATATCTTTGGACCGTTCATATTTGCAAAGGCCGAGTGTGGCATCCCATTTTGCCGTGGAGTTCTTGTCTGGCACAAATGGTGCCCAACCAGGCCGGACTGAAACCAGTGACACCCCGAGGGCATGGCGACGCTCATTGAGCAGTCCATGCACGAGGCTGCCGACGCGAGCCTACTTCACACAGCTTCGCGCCCCAACCGGCCATGGATGCAGACTCGGACGCTGGATTTGATCGAGTTGCGCAACCGTGCCAGGGGTGCCGGCCAAGTCATGTTGGAGAAAGACCTGTCGAAACAGGTCAAAGCATCTGCGAAGGTAGACAGAAGGGAGTGGCTAGATCAAATGCTCGCTGGAGGTGTTTGGGGGAGTCTGAAACGCTTCCGGAGCAGAGGTCGCAGATCCCAAGGCCGCGTCCGAGACGAAGGCGGCCGCCTGGTAGACAGCGACAGAAGGGCAGAAACTATGACAGCGTATTTCGAGAAGGTGCAATGGGCACTTCCTTTCGGCAACCGTCCGCTCCGGCAAGGGGTCCAGCTGAACGAGACAATCGCCTTGAACCAAGACGAGTTCTCCATGCTGGAAGTGTCCGCGGTCCTGTCAAAGTTGAAAGCGGGCAAGGCGGCGGGCCCAGATGGAGTGCCTCCTAACTTCGGGAAGTCGCTGGGCCATAGTGTGCAGGCGTGTCAGAGCCTTCTTGATCTCTGCAACAAGTCTTGGGAGTGCAGGTCAATTCCTCAATCCTGGAAACACTGCGCAGTGACGGCCATTTTCCAGAAGGGCGACGAGTCCTTGCCCCAGAACTACTGGCCAATCTCTCTCTTGTCCGTCAGCTACAAGGTCGTGGCGAGCCTCATTCTGAACAGAATGTGCACTGGAGGGGTGGAGGAGAAGCTGAGGGACACGCAATTCGGTGTCCGGAAGCAGAGGCGTTCCACTGACGCGATCTTCTTAGCTCGAAGAGCGATCGAAAGGACCTGGGCGCCCAAAGAAGGGCATCGATCAGCTAAATGATTAGATTTGTCGAAGGCCTTCGACAGGATAGACGCAGCAGCCCTCCAAATTGCCCTTGCCCGGTTTGGCATCCCGCGGGCCTACTGCGACAAGATCAAGAGCATGTATACCAATCGCACGTTCGACCTGACAGATATAACCATGGCTCCTCCCGAACTCGCCCAATAGGCGCGGGCATTGCCCAGGGTTTCCCACTGAGCCCTTACCTCTTCATCATTATGCTGTCCGTTCTCATGACGGATGTACAGGCCGACTTGGTGAACGAGCTCGGCCCAACTCCATCGGATAACACGAGTTTCGATGCCATGTTTGCCGAAGATGCGGCGCTTGTTTCACATGATCTACCAAGAACGCAACATGTTCTGAACCGTCTCACTGCGAGGGCCCACGCGTACGGACTAGAACCAAATCGGACGAAGACCGTGCATTTACGAGTCAGGCATGCTGCGGACATCTTCGCTCAAGACGGAGTCCCAGTGAAGCCGGTGACGTCTGCAGTCTATCTTGGGGGTCTATTGCAAGCAAATGGCGGCACTGACACAGCCGTGGCAAGGGGATCGGAGAGGCGAGGGCTGCGTTTCAAACCCTCGAACTAGTATGGCGGCATGCCAACATCATCATCCGGCGATCACGCAGACTTACGTTATTCTGGGCGTTCATCATAAGCAAACTGATCTACGGCATCCAGACGCTCGGCCTCAAGAAAACTGACGGGGACAAGATCGATGCCTTCCACGCACAATGCCTCCGGCAAGTATTGGGCATACCGCACTCAATGGTGTCGCGGGTCACGAATGCAGAGGTGCGTCGACGAGCACACGAAATGGCACTGAGCCAAACAGTTCTGTTCAGACAACCGTTGTCTTTTGGTAGGATCGCGGCCATGCCGGGTTCGCTCCTCAGACGCACAATTTTCGGCGCAGGGTCTGTCGAGCCCGCCAACCCAGGCGCGCCGAGGCGGAGAGGCCGACCCCGGCTGACGCGGGGCTCAGTGGTCAGCGCAAACGCCTTATTGGCGATCAGGAGTCTCTCCCCCACCTTCCTCGTCCTCCTCCCCCCCCCCTCCTGCCCTCCCTCTCCCCGCCCCTGCCCCTCAGGAGAGCGATGTGTTTCAATCTCTTAGTCCTGGACACTATAGCCCGCGCGTGTGGAGGACAATCGCCAGCCAGCCGGTACACTGTTCCTGAACTGTCCTTGATTTATATGCCCTGGTCTGGACATGCGCCTCCAGCCTGCGGCACTTATTCAGCGGACGTGTCGTGCAGACACGGCGTTATTGATTGGCTCTCGCCTTAGAAGCGCGCACATGCGTTTTAAACATTGGCAAGATCTGCACGGATTGAGGGCGGATGGTCTTCAAAGTGTGGCTCTCGCCTTTGCGCACACTCGTTTTAAACATGGGCAAGAGCTGCACGGGTTGAAGGCGAGTGGTTTTCAAAATGTGGCTCTCGCCTTAGCGCCACTCACATCCGTTGTAGAAATTCGCAAGAGCTTCACGGATTGAGGGCGGCTCCTTTTCAAAATGTGGTTCTCGCCTGAGCGCGGCGCACACTCGTCTTAAAAATGCTCAAGAGCTTCACGGATTGAGGGCGGCTCCTTTTCAAAATGCGGCTCTCGCCTCAGCGCCGCACACATTCATTTTGACAAATCACGTGAGAGACACGGATTGAGGGCGGCTCCTTTTCAAAATGGGGCTCTCGCCTTAGCGCCGCGCACATTCGTTATCATAATTACAAGATTTCCACGGATTCCCAGGATCAACGTACCAGAAATTGCTGTGTTTTGGAAGGATTCAGGATTATGCGGGTGCAGCCGTGACGTTGGTTCGCGTGTTGAAGTCCCAAGAATGGCGTTCTGGCGCGATTCAGGAACGTCAGGACGCAACAATCATATTGATCCGTGGCGTTGCAGTCCCGAGAATAATGTTTTGGCATGCTTCAGGGTCTTCAAACGGTTGTCGTCCAACGAGGCAGTCCCTTCAGTGGAAATGAACCGTTCTAGGGGCCTATGAAGAGGGAGCTTGGAGGGAGGGTTTATTCTAACCTCGTTGGTGACTCTTGGGCTTACACGATCCTCCTCCTCCTCCTCCTCCTCCACCACCTCCTATCCTCCGTCCTGCGTCCTCCTCATCCTGCCGCCGCAGCGCCACTGCCAAGGGACGGGTGCCAGCATGTGCTTCTCCTGTGACTTCTTTGGTGCGCCCCCCTGGCCTCGAGCCGCGTGTGGACGCGCCGGGAGCCGCACCCCTCCAGAAGCTTGTCGGAGAGCCTGGGGCAATTCTGAAACGTCTCGTAGGAGCTGTCGCCGAAACCGAGCACAGCGTGCTGCACTCCCTGGCCGAGGGCGAAGGGTCAGGTCCCCGATGCTCCCCCATGGCCTTCCTCGTCTCTTCTCCCGTTCCTCCTCGTTTCCTCGTCCTCCTCTTCCTGCCCCTCCTCCTCCTCATCCTTCTCCCCCCCCTCCCCGAAGCCTCGAAACTGCAGGCAGTCTCGACAGTCCAGAGTCCTTGTCGAGGTCCTCTTTTCCTGCTCTTCAGATTTGCCCACCCGATTCATCACCGAAATACGGGATTGCCTTGCTTGGCCTCCAGGGTGGGACCTGTCCAAGGACCTCCAAGGGCCTCCAGAAGTCAGGAGTCGGGCTATTGTTGAACTCGCGTTTGATTGTTGGTCACCCTCGCAAGTAGCATGTGTGTGTTGATTGAAGTGCCCTCCCCTAACGATTACACCATGTTCCCTGGGGAGGGAAGTCTTCGGGCTCAAACTGTGCCTCTGGCCCCCGCGCTACAACACCAGCGGCTCCCGCCTTGTACGTCCTCACACTTCCTTCAGAAATCGCCCTGTAATTCAAAATCATGCACTCGTCCAGGATTCCCTCAGAATTGATTAAGGATTCGTGATCTCGCTGCGCAGGAATTGCGCCCTTGCTTGAGACTTCCTCGCGGTTTAATCAAGACAAGCGCTCCCGCCACCCAGAAATTGCACTCTCGCCCACGACTTCTTTACACACTGCGTTCGAAACGCGCTCCCGCCCGATACCTTCCTCAGACTTATGCAACATTCGCGCTTGAATGCCTCCCCCGCCAGACTCGCCTGTTAGGGTCCGCCCTCCAGACCCGCCCGGTAGGCACCGCCAGTCGGACCCGCCCTTCAGGGTCCGCCCGCCCCACCCCGACCCGTCCTCTTGTGAGGCCCCGCCCATCCGACCTGCACCGTAGGGCCCGCCCGCACGACCTGCCCGTTGGGGCCCGCCTGCCCGACGCGCCCGTCGTGGGGCGTGGCGGCATGCACGCCTCCCGCTGACGCCGCAGGTTGAGCTCATGTTGTTTATTCCTCTCTATCTCTCTCACTCTCTCTCTCACTCTCGCTCTCTCTCTCTCTCTATCTCTCTCTCTCTCTCTCGAACACGTGTCGAGGACGTGCTGACATGGGGGAATGGCGGCACGCGCGCCACCCGCTCAAGCCGTAGCTCCAGCTCCAAATGGGGGACACGAAACGTGCGAATGGTGTGCCAACACAGGCGAGGGCGGCATTCCCGCCACCCCCAGTGGGTCTGTAAGTGGATCTCCCTATGGGGCACGGAGCGTGCGAGGAGCGGACCGGAATTGGCGTGGGGCGGCATGCGGACCATCCCCCAACGAGGCTATAACTAAGTGGAGCTCCCTGGTGGGGCACGAAACGTGTGAGGGTTGTGCCAGAACCTGCGCGGGGCGGCCTGCGGCCCAAACGCACTCAGGCAGTGGGTGGGGCCCCCTATGGGTAAACGTGTGAGGGGCTACCGAAATGATTGAAGGGCGACGTGCAGCCGACCCCCCCCTAAGGCCGCAGCTCCAGTTCGATATGGAAGCACGAAACGTGTGATAGGCGTACCGAAATGGACGCGAGGAGACATGCGCCCCACTTCTAATTGGGCCGTGGGTGGAGCGAGCGCCCTATGGGGGCACGGAACGTGTGTGGGTGTCCCGAAGTGTGGTCGGGGCAGCATGCTGCCCACACGCGCTGAGGGCTGCGAAAGGTGGCACGTATCGTGCGAGGGGTGTTTGCCGAAATGGGCGTGGGCCGGTATGCGGCGCACCCCCACTATGGCAGTAGCTCGAGCTCCATATCGGGGCGCGAAGCGTGTAAGCAGTGTGCAAAAACAAGAGAGGAGGAAAGACGAGACAGGGACAGGAGTAAGGAAGGAGAGGGAGGCGAGACAAGGTGGAGCGCGGCGCTGCAAAATCCCTCTCGAGGAAGTGACCCCGACCTCCAATGCTCCGTATGACTGTTTCAATACGCCGGCCCCAGGCATCTCGACCCCCTCCAGATGACGAACTTGTTGTCCCAGGTTGGTTCTCGACTATCCAATTGCCAGGGAACGGCCTATGTGCACGGAAAATACAAAGCACCCCGCAATTGCAGATCAGAGTGAGGGGGCGGGCGCGGGATGGGCCGCCGGTGGGTCGCGGGCTGGGTCGCGGGGTCAATCGCGGGCGGGTCGCGGGCGAGGACGACGACAACGCAACAACAACAACACAACAAGCAGAATCCGCCAGACGGAACGCTACATCTGCCACGCACCCAAGGACATTGACTAGCCGTTCGGCCCCCTCACTCTGAAAACAAAAACCTCGGGCTCCATCTTGTCGAGACGCCTCCGGTCTGGGCTTTTCTTGGACGGAGGGAGTGAGGGAGGCTATGGAGGAGCAGTCGCGGGATTTCGGATCCGGACCCTCAGAGGCGGTGACTCGGCCTTGGCCCCCTTGGCCAGCGCCAGCAGGAACTTGTCGTAGTTCGACGGAGCTTCCCCCTCGCGTGGAGGCCGTCGTCGTCGTCGACTTTCAAAAATCGAGGATCGAGATGTTTGAGCGTTCTTTACCGTTCTCGAAAGGCCTCTGGAGGGCCTCCAGGGCGTCCAGAACTGCCGCAGAACTTCTGGGAGGCGGCCGAGGCCTTCAGAGCAGGAGGAGGCGGTGAAGGAGTGGGGCCTCGCCGAAAGAGCTCGTGAGAATGACCAGAACGTCGTAGTCCTCTCGGGTCGGGCGAAAGGGGGGGGGATAGCAAAGGGGGGGTTTGAGAATCAGCTCACGTAGCTGATTTTCCCGGCGCCTCCCGGCGCCAGAGGCGACTATGTATCGAGGAATGGGCCCCTCGGTGAAGCCGAAATCAGCTGCATGCAGCAAATTTCGTAACCCCCCCTTTCCCAATCCCCCCCCTTCCCCCCGGCCCGATCCTCTTTCAAGGAGTCAAACTTCTTCGCAGCGTCGTTGCCGCATATCGCATCTGCGTCGACCTTCACACTCGATCCCTTCGCAGCCCACGACGCCGCAAGCTTCTGGGCAGCGCGCCGCGCGTTGCCAGACTCAGAGCCGTATACGAGAAGTGTGCGCAGCGGCGCCATGGGTGACTTCCTCGAGCACTCGAAGGGGTGTGTGTGGCCCGCTCGCTGCGAGACCGAATGGCTACTACGGAAACAGAGGACGTCAAGAACAGAGACGACGACGATCGCAACGACGTCGACGACGCCGACGGCGACGGCGACGGCCACGGCGACGGTCGCGACGGTCGCGACGACGGCGACGACAACGGCGACGGCGACGGCGACGACAACGGCGGCGGCTGCGACGATGGCGCCATGGTGATCATGACCACGGCGACGACGACGCGACAGAGACAAAGACAGAGACGAGGAAGAATACGATGACCACAACCACGACTACCACCGCAACCAGGCTGCTGCTGCTGCTGCTGCTGCTGCTGCTGCTGCTGCTGCTGCTGCTGCTGCTGCTGCTGCTGCTGCTCGGGAATCCGGGTCCGAAAATCGATGACATCCTTCACCCTTTTGAGCCTCATGGAGCGCCCTGGCTGCCACGACTGGACTCGTCTAGAAATTCTAGTCAAAACGCCCCCCGAATACAGTGCGAGGGCCGACTGTAAAGTCCAGAATCCGAAGACGAAGACCACGACGGCGAAGACGACGACAGTGACGATGACAGCGATACGCATGTAGTTCGCCGACACCAGCGCGCCGGGGGGAGCACAGGCGTGTGAGATTATTGGCTCTCCCCCTCCCCTTTTCCCCCACACCTGGGGTCAGAAATCCCATTAGAGGGGGTGGCGGAGGGGGGGTCCAGGGGGGAACCCAGGGGGGGTGGGAGGGGGTCCGAGCTCATCAACGCTCCCCTGGGGCCTCCGGAACCTCCATTTCTACACTCTGTGGCCTCCAAGATGCCTAAGAATCGGTCTAAGCTTGCTCAAACAGGCGCTCCAAGACGACCCCCGAGAGGGCCCCAAGAAGTAATCATCGTCTAAATACCACGGGACATCGTTTACTTTGACCATGCGAATCAGCACGTCCAAGACGGCTCAAGAAGCCCCAATGATCGCTTCAAGACGGCCCAAGAAGCCCCCAAGAGGGCCCCAAGACGGCCGAAATGGGTCCCAAGATGGCCGAAGAGGCGCCCAAGATGGCCGAAGAGAGCCCCAACACGGACTCGAGAGGGGCCCAAGAGAGGTAGCTCGAACTGACATTCCGAGCCATCCGCCCCCGAAGGACCCCTTGAGAGCGCCAACAGGCGCCCAAGAGACTCCCAAGAGGCCCGAAGAGGCCCCCGTGGGGCCCCAAAGAGGCTCCCAGAGGGTCCCCAAGAGGCCCGAGAAGGCCTCACACATTGATTTCATCCCTCTTATGGGGGTCGGTGGAATGGCGCAAGCCTCTTGAACAAGCGTACGGTCAGCCCACAATGCATAATTCGATAGTCGGCCTACGGCCTGCTATAAGCCTACGCATAGCCTATGCGCAGGCCTACCAATGGCCGATGCATAAGCTATGCGTACGGCTATGGAAGGCCTGTGGTAGGCCTACAGTAAGCCCTCGGCATCGACACAACAGTCCAACTGCAAGCCTACAGCCTACTAGATGCCTGCGCAAAGCCTGCGCGCAAGCCTAAGTATGCTGACGCACGGGCTGTGCATTTGACGATCGCAAGGCTGCAGGAGTCCTATAGCAGGCGCGCGGCAAGCCTGCCATTGGCCCATGGCAGGCGTACAGCCGACGATTGGCCTCTGCATTGCCTACGCATTGGCCTTGTACAAGCTTCCCCATGGTCTACACGTGGGCTTGTTCATAAGCTGGTGATAAGCATGCGCAGACTACGCACTGTTCTACAATAGTGCTGAAGTAGGCAAACGGCAAGCGTGTTGCCCGCCAGAAGTAGGCATATGGTAGGTGCACGAACGACGAAGACCATTTGCGTTGCCTACGCGCAAGCCTTCTTTAGGCCTACGCATGGTCCATACATGAACCGCTGGTAGCCCTGAGGAAAGTATGCACAGGTGATACGTTGGCCTATGTGCGTGCTGGGGTATGCATGTAACAAGCATGCGGTCAGCGTGCAATAGGCCTGTGGTGAGCATACGGCCGACGTTCCGTCGCCAACCCGTGGGAGCCCTGTAACCGTCCGGTGCGTTGACGTGTGCTGCATTGCTGTACGTGCGTTGCTCTGCACTGCACTGCCCTGCGCTGCCTTGCTTGACTTAGCAATGCTTTGCGTTGGCGTGCACTGCTTTGCCATGATCTCAGTGCTTTTCGTTCCTCGCCGCGATTGCACTGGACTGCACAGATGCGCATTGATTTGCCCGGCTTTGAGCCAGCGCTGCTCTGCACGGCAAAGACATAGGTTGCTCACGACGCGAAAGGATCAAGGTCCTCTGGCCCCCGTCCGCCTCCTCCGCCCTCCCCTCAAAAGTCCCCCCCCCCCCCGCGCATCTCCAGGGCTGAGTCCGGACAGAGGCATCCGAGGCCGATCCAGCCTTGGCGACGAGGAGCCTCGCAGAGGCCCTGAGAGCCTGAATATCTCAAGCCTCGATGTTCGGTCCTCTACCCTCGGAGGCCAGGGCCCCCTCGTCGAGAATCGAACCCCAGGCTTGTACAGGGTTGGGCTCTGACCAGGATCTCAAAGGGGGTCCAGGCGTGGCGACGGCAAGAGGAGGAGGAGGAGGAGGAGGAGGAGGAGGAGGAGGAGGAGGAGGAGGAGCAGGAGGAGGAGGAACAGCCAGGACGCGGTCTCAACGACCTGCTTCGGATGACGCGCGAGGCCCTGGCATGGGTGGCCGGCGGGCACAGGAGAAGCTGGTGGGGCGGACGCCGGGCGGCGCCCGGCTGGGGTCGGCGAGGGCGCCGCGGCGGGCGGAGGGAGCGGCAAGGCGGGCGCTCCCCGCCAGCTCCCCGCCCACAGCCGCCGCACTTTCCGCCCACAGCCTGCCTCTCCCTGAGCATTCTCGCAGGGTGGAGGTCTCAGGGTGAAATCCGTATGGGCTTTGGCACCTCGAGAACCAATCCTTCTGTGATTCACCTTTTGCAGACTCAGGCCTCGAAAATCCATCGAAACTGCATTTCGGGTTTCACCCTTGGCCCTCCACCCAGAAAGTGCTCGGTCTACTCACCCAACGACAGTAGTCTGGGAGGAGGCTTCAGGAAGTACAGAAACATATTCTGGCTTCCTGCCCCGCTAAGACTGCGGGAGCGCTCACCTGCAAGATCACGCAGGTGGCGAGTGCTGAGACAACCGCAAGCAAAGCACCACAAAAGATTCTGGTCGGGCCAGCTTGCCAGCTGATGGGACTCGCGAGCCAAGCTCGAACGCACACAAACCTTCTCTGGGCCGGAAGACCGCCCCACTCCACTCTACAGGATGGCAGGGGACGCTAAAACAAGGTGGTGTCCTGGGCTGACGAGCTGTACTCACATCTAACGCAGTAGCAGAAATCTTTCGCGATGATTGGACAGGACTGCTGAAAACCCGAAGCCGCCTGTCTGCGCTTCTGAACTGTGTATGGGGTTGAAGTACAAGGGCACAGAACCCCTGATCCATTGGTAGAGAGAAGGAGGGATAGATGGATGTCTTTCCCTCCTGCACGATCAAAGGTCTGATCGATCTGTCTCAATACCTGAGCCCAAACGGCCGGGCGCAGGAGAGGTAAGGATAAGGAGTATATATGAGGGTATTACACGGGTTCTATTCACACCCCCCGTCCCGAATCCCGCCCGTGAGGGCAGGACTCGGGAACAGAGGAAGAGAATCCGTCAACCTTTTACTCCTTTAATCCTTAAGTCTGCAGGCAGCTGAGCTTAAAGTCAGTGTAGCCTCAGCTGCAAAGTGAAGTAAGAAGGAACACCCTGGGTCCCCATTTCTTCGCCAAGCACACTTTGGCGCCCCCTCGGTGCGCCCCCCAAAACGCTTCGGCACTCGAGGGCGGAGAAGAATGAGACAAGGGTGGGCGGAGAAAGAAGATCTGAGCATTAAAGCAGCTGCCTCGCTTTTGCGAGGCAGGTGTTGCCACCGGCAATCAGATTATTCCCAACGCAATGGAGTTAAATTCTAAAGAATATGCATGCTAAGATCGTGTTGACGAACACGATCTTGCAACGAAACGCAACTGCGTGTAAAAGCAAATGTCTGGCCATACGAAATGTCGCGTTGATAAACACGAAAGCTGCATGTATAGAAATTCTATTTGGCGACTCCCGTTGGCTTTGCTCCTTAGGAGGCTGCCTCGGTTATCGCAAAAGGTGTTTGTTTGCGTGGCCACTTGCGTTGCATAATGAAGTTGCCTAGAAGTATGTAATAGCCACCGCTCAAGGCGAACTTTGATTATAATGAAGTTCAAGCCTTTGAGCGGTGGGCCTTGCGGCCGACTCATTACGCGTTGCCGTTCTTGTAGAACCTGCGGTCCCACATCCTCTGGCCATTGTACGTCACGTAGCTCGTCGTGAACGTCTCCCAAGATGTCCTCGGGATCCAGTGGCGAAACCACTCATTGTACTGGATGTCGTGGATGTATACGAACTCATCGTTGTTCATCGCGATGTATATCCAACAGTTGATGTAGTAGCTCCAATACCTGAGGCCCCAATGGCTGTCCTCGAGGTCGTCGCGCCAGTAGGCGGCGTAATTTGTGGTACGCGCTCGCTTGGCGCGTGGCCCCGCGGGCGCGCGGTCCGTCGCGCCAGAGGCGCTGTGCTGTGCAGCATCGCCAGGGGCAGGGCGCGGCGGCGGCGGCGGATGGCGCGGCCCCATAGCATCATCAGACTGATGGGAGTGCGTATCGGGATCGGTCGGACCGGTTCTCATCCCTGAACCAACCCCCCTCTGGTCGGTATGTGACGGATCGAGGGAGCCCAACAATTCGTTAGCAATCGCAGCAAGCTTGCGCTGAGTGACTTTTTCACGGGTGCCATCCCTTCTAGGGAGGGCAACCGTGACAAGTCCGCGAGCCTGCCGCGTCTGCCTGTCGAGTCGGCCCTCGTTCAGCCACCATTTCTTCCGACCAGCTTGTCCTGTCCTGATGCTGACATCGAGGATTTCCCACGCATCACGCATGTCGTCCACGCTCCAGGCCTTCTTGCCCACGTCCACGCGAGCGCCTGTCATTTGGTGGTGGAACTTCAAATCGTTGAGAAAGCGC